GAGGGAGGGGGGAATGGGGAGGGAGGGGGGAAATGAGCAGCCGATATTAGGGGCTAGAGTAGGAGGCAAATGTTTTGAGAACAATATGTGCTTGACACAATGGATGGATGGATGGATTGTGATGAGAATTGTACGAGCGCCCAATAAAATAATTATATATATTAAAAAAACCAGACCAAGCTCACTGCCATCTTGTTCATTCTGGCTCAGAGAGACCCTATAGGATGAGGGAAAACCGGACCCCTCAGGGTGGGGTTTCTGCGAGTGACCCTCTTCATGGGAATAAGAAAAGCCTTCGTCTTTCTCCCATGGGGCTGCTGGTGGTTTCAAACTGCTGACCTTGTGCTTAGCAGCACAACTGGTAACCGCTATGCTACTAGAGCCCCTCCTCTGGGGCTCAGTTTCCCCTAAAGAGACTGGGGCATCTGGGGAGGGCACAGAGATGGGTGGGCAGATGGGAGAGCCTGCTTCACACCCTCCCCCTCTGGCCGGGCTCACGCTGCGCCCTCCCCAGAGTCCTCCACATTAATCGCTGCGGTTGACTCGCTCCTGGCAGCCTCGCTTCTTTAATAAGCCCTTTGTACCCTTAATTGGCCACCTCTGGGCACAGAAGGGATCCCAGGTCCAACTATGTGCTAATTGGGATGGGGAGGGCAATGTTCAAAAAGGCCCTCCTCCCCTTACCTTCCTCTCTATAGGCTCCCCACCTGCGGCCCCTCAAGCCTCAGTGTGCAGCTTCTGGGAGGGCCGGATGAGGCCCGGGCACCGCAGCAGCAGGGAGGCTCTACCTTCATTCCGAACCCACCTGCCCCGCACATTGGCGCCCCTTCTCCTCTCTCCCTCTGCAGCCCTGAGCCCCAGCCTGTGGACCTCTCTCCCTGCCACAATTAGGGGTGCTTTCTGGCGGCTGGTGCCTTGTGAGGGGGGGCTCCTCCGATCATCCCAGCCATGCACCCCGGGGTGCCCGCAGCCCCAGGGGTCTCTGAGCCCGGCCCCCAGGAGCTGTGCGCCTTCGTGAGCGGGGCGGCAGCCCACATGCTGCGGGTCCTGCAGCCTCGACGCAGCCGGATCCCCAAGAGGAGGCCCAACCACAAGAGGTTCCTACTTAACCAGATTTGCAGGTGAGGGGTGCTGGAAGTTGGATGGGGGGACAGGGGGATTCTTGGATGAGGGAAGGGGTGGGAAGAGGCAGAAGCCTCCGTGTTGGGGACATCAGGTCCCACAAAACGGAAAGGAGTGGACCCCAGGAGTGGGTGAGGTCCACCCAAAAGAAGCATTCATTGAGCACCTCCTGCATGCGGGGCCTCTGTCCAGCGTGCTGCCTCCGGGGTAGACAGAAGATACACAGTGAGCAATCTGGACGCGTCCATTCTGTGGCGAGGACACCGCGACCCACATGGACCCAGCCAATGCTCTGGTGGTGGCACTGGGTTCTAGGGTCGCCAAACAAAAATGGCACGAACTGGGTGACCCTACACAACAACAAGTGCACCACAGTTCTGGAGGGGACAGGTCTGCGTCCAGGATGTCAGATCATGCGGCTGTACCTTGGATGGCGGTGATGGTGTTGATGATAAGGATGGGGATGGTGATGGTGTTGGTGCTGATGATAGTGGTGATGGTGTTGATGGGGATGGGGACGATGGTAGTGGTGGGCATGATGATGGGGGTGGGGGTGGGGGTAGGCACAAATTGTACAGTTAAGATATATAAAGATTATAATACAATCATAGAGAAATAGAGATGGGAGAGAGTAAAATAAAGAAATCAGACACATTTCATGGTCGCATGCCCACTTCAGCTCCTCTTGGTGGTACACATGAGCGGGCAGGAGAGAGCTCTCGTTAGGTTTCATTTCTAACCAAAGCTTATAATTCTTTGCGGGTATGCAAGCCCTCTGATTACAGATACCAATGTACATCATGAGAATGGCTTGTAACATAGGCAACACAAGCAATAGGAGGGGGATGACGTAGGGGTGTACACACAATAGTTCAGGGAGGGAATAGGGGTACATATGTGGCAAGATGGGTGGACCCTAGACTCAATATACTAGCCTAATCTTAGTCATCCTTGAGTGGTCCCGACCTTGCTTTGGGCACTCCTTCAAGGGAACACTGTCAGCAGGGAGTGGGCCCTACAGGGTCAGTCAGAGTACACACTGGTTGCTCTAGATGCCCTTAAGGAAAATAACCACTGGCCTACTTTCCTTGACCTCTTAGTGTACAGTCAGCAAGCAGCGTCTTGGGTTTGGCATATATTTGGGGGAGACCACTTGGGAGAAATGTTTCTGTTTCCCACCGGCTGGGATGTTTATACAATTGCTCTTTGATATAACGTTCTTGTGAGGAACAGAAGGATTTCTCTTAAGTTGTCTCCCCAAACTATGTACCAGACTTAGCTGCTTAAGAGTGTCTGTACAATAGGTGATCAGTGAAAGTAGGTCAGAGGTTATTCTCCTTAACATCAGCCATCTATAGTGGCTAGACTATAGTCTGACTCACCCTGAATAAGACCCACTCCCTTCTGATAAGGATAGCGGTGGTCTGTTTACTTGTAGGAGATACCAGAGAGGGCAAACCCGCCCAAGGATGACCGAGGTTAGGTAGTCATTATCAGCTGTCTAGGTCAAGCAGACACCATTGTTTATCCCACAACAAATGTGGGCACACCCCTAGGTGATTCCCCTCCTATTGATTGTATTGCCTATGTTGCTACCCCTCCCGGTGACTCAGGTTATTAATATTGTCTGCTATCAGGGGACTTGCATGCCTCCCAGAATAGTAATTGTCTGCTTTACTGTATGAGGCACCAGAATGATCAAACTTGTTCAAGAATGAAATGTATTGCCCCTTTCTGTGATGTATGACTCTGTAATCAGGTTCCCCTAAAGTGATATGATGCGTGGTTAGCAATAAATAATGAGGCTCCCTGGTTCTCGGGAGGGTGGCTGGCCGAGGGCGGCTGAGGAAGGAGGGCTGCTCCCATGAGGGCGGTGGATGAGAGGGCAGCTCCCGCGAGGGAGGCGGCTCCTGCTCTGGCAGCCGGGTTCCCCCCACGAGGACCACCAAGCGGGGCGGAGGTGAGCAATGCTACCATGTAATATGTCTGACTGTATTATTGTATTATCTCTCATGCTCTTGATGACTTTAATATAATACTTATATATCTCAACCGTACAATTGTGCATTACTGAACCCAGAAGTAGCATTACTGAACCAGTGAGTTCTAGCAGCGGGTGGGGCTGACACCCCACTCCCCCCAGCGCCATTTTAAATTTAATACTACACATTCTCTTACAGATATATGAGTGTCAATGAATTTGTTCCTCTAGTCTCTCCGCACAAACGCACTTACCTCTCTCCTAGCTGCTCCTACTCACCAGTGATGTTGGTGATGTTGTTGTGGATTGCCATTGCGTCTGCCCAACTCTTAGTGACCCCGTGCACCACAGAGCGAGACACTGCCTGGGCTGGCACCATCCTCCCATCTTGGTGACCCTTGAACCCAGGTGGCAGCCACTGTGGCAATCCATCCCATTGAGGATCTTCCTCTTCTTCGCTGCCCTTCCACTTCACCGAGGATGATGTTCTTCTCCGGATACTCTTCTCTCCCGATAACATGTCCAATGTGCGCAAGACAAGTCTAACCGGCCTCACTTCCAAGGAGCACTCATTCCGGTTGTACATCTGCCAACACAGATTTGTTTATTGAAGGTGCCAATGTGGGAAACAGAAAGACTTCTCCCAAGTGGTCTCCCCCAGATATATGCCAAACTTAGCTCTGGCTACACAAGGGAACTGACTATACACTT